TTTTTTTTTAAAAAAACGTCTTCTATTGTTTCGCAGGGCATGTAAATAAGACAACGTGGTCCAACACAACAGTCCAACTTCGTTTGTCTCTCGTTGTACATAAGACAAAGGTATGAAATATCCAAAGAAATATGCCGGTCTCTATTTTGAGTTTAAGCCCATAAAAAGAAATATAGTACACTTCACTTCCCACATCAAGCAATTTTAATCATTTGAGCTACACTTTCCCCTGTCAGTTTTTTTATTTTGGACCAACTTTCACCTGTCAATTTGACAATACTGAATGGTTCAGTTCAATACGAAAAATCCTCAATAAGATTAAGGAAAATCATTGAGAAGGACTTGCTAGGAAAAAAATTGATATAAGACAACCCAGGATCCACCCCAAAAATTTATCAAATGACAACAAAGACCAAAGTTCTTTACTTTTTTTCATGGGCAAACCTTTGAGAGCGCTTAAAAAATATTAATCTCAATTAAAGATTATAATATTTGTATACTTCAAAAAAGAATCATGGTGCTCGATTAAAAGTAAAATTTTTTGAATTATTTTTTTTGAGTGCTGATCTTAAATATTTTCAATACCTAACCTTAATATTTTTAATAATCCTATATAATATTTTCAATACTCTTTTCTTTAATTTTCCGAACGTTGTTTTAACTGAACCAGCCAATTTGATTGTTAGCCACTAGATGGTGATCTGAAACATTGTCACAATTGGCCAAAAAACTAACCGATCAATAACTGGTGAAAATCGATAGAAAATCCGTCAGAAACGATTTATCATTTTTTAAAGAAAAAATTATTAATTCAAAACTATGTTATTTTTTGTTTTTTTTTTGTCGTGTAGGTTTTTTTTTGGTATTTTATATTTATATACACACAAATATATAATTTATTGGAAATTTTAGTTAATAATATAAGCTTGTGGTTATTTAATTAGACTATAAATGTGACATATTTGATTATTTTGTGGATTTGTATTATAAAATAAATAGTGTTATCATAATATTGATGCAATGGACTATAAATTTAACATGAATTATAAGGATATTACTGAAAAGTGAATTTCCAGTCCTTATAGTTCCATCATGTTGTTAATTTAGTTCTTGTAGTTTTATTTTTTGGTTAACTCACTGCTTAAAGTTACAAATGTTAAAAGCATTAGTCCCCCAAGGGCAGAGTTTCATTGACCAGGCCCCAACATGGCGAATGGTGTTAAAATTAAATCTGAGAGAGTCTTATTACTCAATAGACATGGAGATGAGAAATTGAAGGACAAACAAAATGAAAAGGAAAATGGAGGCGATCAAGTAGGGTCACTAATCCTTCAAAATTGTTTAGAAAAGAGAAGGAAGAAAGGGAAATCACCAAAAAGAGAAAAACAATTGGCAAAGAGAGAAGAGAGAAAAGAACTGAATACTGCTTTTCTCTTATCATCAAAAAAAGAAAAGAACTAAGTACTTTTGTCACTTTGTATGTGTGGATCACCTAGAAGAGATGAAAATCACTGCAGGAAGGCTGCCAAAGACGGGGGATTAACCACTTCATTTCCCTCAACTTTCCCCATCTCAACCAACCATATTATTTTATTAAATAATTTTTTAAAAAATCATAAAATTAATGAATGGTGGAGATGAAAAAAATAGAGGAAAAAAAAAAAAAAGAGACCCTCCACCTGCCGAAGACAAACGCCCTAGTCATAGGATTTAGAAGAGATCTACCTTTGTTTTTCTACACCACAAATATTTTTAAACATATTTACAAATGGATAATGTATCTTTTAATTTTCTCTCAAATTTTTTTAAATTATTGAATTTATTTTTTAAATTTAGTATTTATCAATTTAATCATTTATGCTTTTTTAAGTTGTCATTTTGATCATTTAAATTTAGAGACACAAATTCATTCTCAAATTAATATGACATGTAAAGTATATTGATGATGTGATATGTATATATATTTAAATAATAATAAATTAGTATTTAAATTAATTTAATTTTTATTGATCTAATCACTTATGTTGCATTTTATTCTTTCATTTTTAAAATTTTTATTTATATGTACAGCTACCAACTCCATATTTCACTACAAACTCGTTTGGATTTTAATTAGATATAATTAATTATAAAAAAAGTAATTAATATGATTAATTTTGATTATAATTAATTATATTATAATGTGATCATGTTTGGATATTACTTTTTAAAAAAATTAATTTCAACCAAATTAAAGATATTTAAATATTTTAATTAGAATCAATTTTATACATATAAATTATAATAAAGAACATGAGTTTCAAAATGTAAATATCAATAAAATTACATATAATATTATTAAATTTGTTTTCATCTATTTAAATTTAATGAAGCTAAAAAAGATGGATAAATAATACAAAATAAAGAGAAGGAAGAAATAAAATATATATTATATTGTTATTATGGTTTAAATAAATGAATATATTTAAATGAATGAATATGTAATAGCCCGCAATGCACGGCACATTTTGCGAGGGAGAATTCGCATTACCTGTTGTGCAAGAAAAAAGGGTGGTGTGAGGGTATATTTGAACCAGTACAAAAATATGACAAGACATATGTCTTCAGCTTGAAATTTGACAATAAGAAGCTGAATAGAGTAGCTTCATCAAGCACGCAATTATGGAAGTATACTCGATTAATAGAAAAAATGAGGCATTTGGGTAATTTTAATAAAAACGTGCTTTTCGTACAAATAATCGATTTCAAACGCAAATCCAAACAGGCTGTACATATGTCAACAAATTTTTCAGCGTTACATCATTTTTTAATAATAAATATCAAATTAATAATTAAAAAAGACTTAAAAGATTAAATCAATAATTAAAACAAACTTGAAGAATTAAAAATTTTACTATCCTTTTATTAAAACATTCAAGCTCATGCTATATACAAGACATCTAATGTATTTCATTTACATAGAGAGCAAACATGTTAAATGCAAAGAACGTGACCCATGTATGTTGTAACAAAAACTTGCCCTGCATATTGGATGACTCAGACTATGATATACTTATGGTATTAAAAATTGGACCAGATCGGCCGGTCCAACCGATAACCTGGCAAACTGGAGACTAATTCGGTCCGGTTCATATGGCCAAAGTGGCCTTATGTGACTCGGGTTAACCCGGGTGAACCCGCCCAACCCCCAAGTCCAAAAGGGTTGGGCGGGTTATTATTTTTAAAAGAAACTAACCCCCAAAACAATGTTGTTTTGGGGGTCATATTATTAAAAAAAATGCGAAGGTTCAAGGTTGAACTGTGGTCTACTGGTCCGTATTCTCGCGTCCTATCTCCTCTGCGTCTCAAGTCTCTTTTGTCCGTTTTAGTTAGAACTCAGAAGCCCTAACTTAATCTCTGAATCTCCGATCTCGTATTCTCGCTGTGAAAGTTGAACGGAAATGAAGGTTCGCGTCTCATAGCTCAATCTTTGAACGAAAACGAAGGTTCGTGTCTCATTTATGGCTGAATCTGGATGCTGAACCTATGACCATCTCTGCCTCGAAGCTTTGCCCTCGTCTCTCATCTCATCTCTCATCTCTGCCTCAAAGCTTCAACGGTGAATGCTGTGCTCTGTCTGAATCTTGCCTGAGCTTCAACGGTCCGTACGAGCCTCTAAGGTAGTTGCTCTCTCTCTCTCCCCCCACTTGATTCAGGTATGCTTTTCTCTCTCTCTCCTCTGCGAGCTTGTGGACGGAATGATATCTCAAGGAGTTTAACGTGGTTCAGGAAGGTGTCTGAATTTCAAAATTTGTGAATGGCAATGTTACAGTCACTGGCTGCGGACAGTATAAGAATTTAGAATTAGTTAGAAAATTAGAAAATAATCAAATATAATTTTTGCCCTGATTGCTGAAAATTAATTTGAGCTTCATGTTCTCATCTCTGTCTGAATACGTAAATCGAGAAGGCGAGAACCTCTTCTCGTTTTGGAATTCAAATGCTGTGCTCTGTGACTCTGTCTGAACTCTAAATCTTGTTTGTGATTTTTGTATGTATTTTGATTTGCTCTGGTTGTTGAAAATTAATTCGAGCTTTATATTGCTCTTGTGTACTGTATTTTGGATTTCTGGCTGCTATGATTGCTCTGGCTGCTCTGGTTTTTTTTTTGCATTATATGTTTATTTATGTTGAAATTATCATAGCTTGCAGATTAAAGTTATAATATGGATATTGGAAGTAATTCTAGTAGTGATGGAACTGAGAATCCTACCCCCAATTCCAACAATCCTACTCCCAATTCCAACAATCCTACCCCTGCTAGCCATAATGACTCCACATCTGGAACCCCATCAGTTTGCGAAAAAAAAGATCCTGCATGAGCACATGTTGCTTTAAGAAAAGAGGGCAACAAAAATGTGTATACATGTCTTTATTATGCATTGAGCTATAAAGGAGGTGGAATAAATAAATTGAAGCATCATATTGCTGGTGTAAGTGGAAATGTAGTTTCCTGCAATAAAGTTCCTTTTGATGTTTGTCATCAGATGCAAGAATCATTAAAAAGTGAGAAAAAAAGAAAGTTTGTTGATGTACAAGCAGACATGGAGGAACATGTGTCTAATATTAATGCACCCAATGCACCTGCTCTATCTAAGTCAATCCCTGAGAGTAGTGCCAGTAAAAAGAAACCTCCTACTATGCCAGTTGAAAATTATTTTACCCTTAGGACAACTATAGGTTCCCAACCAGGCATTAAGAATGCATTTGCAACTAAAGAAGCACAAGACAATGCAAAAATGGCCATTGCTGAATGGGCTATCATCAATTGCATTCCATTTAATGCATTAGATTGCCCATTCTTTCAAAAAGCCATGGATGCTATTGCTTTAATTGGGTCGGGGTTTAAGGGTCCTACTGCTTATGAATTTAGAGTTAACTTGTTGAATGATTGGAAAAAAGAATGTCAGCTATTTATTGAGAGTCATCGATCTAAATGAAAAACTTATGGATGTACACTCATGGCTGATGGTTGGACAGATGTGAGGCAACAAACTCTGATAAATTTTCTTGTATATTCTACACATGGCATAATATTTGTGAAATCTGTTGATGCTTCTGATTTAGTGAAAGATGCCAAGACTTTATTCTCATTGTTTTCTGAAGTGATTGAGTGGGTTGGTCCCAAAAATGTTGTGCATGTGGTGATTGATAATGCTGCTAATTATGTAGCATGTGGCAAGTTGATTAAAGAGAAATATAAAAGTATTTATTGGTCACCTTGTGCTGCTCATTGCTTGAATCTTACTTTGAAAGACATTGCAAGTATGTCTCATGTGTCACAACTTGCAACAAAGGCATCAAAGATCACTGTATTTGTTTATAATCATATGGTCTTCCTGTCATGGCTCAGGAAAAGAAAGGGTTGGAAAGAAATTATGCGTCCTGGTGCGACAAGGTTTGCTACAACATTTATCACATTGCATAGCATATATATGCACAAGTATGACTTGCAAGCTTTAATCACTGATAAGCATTTTGTGGATCACAAATTATCAAGGACTGAAGCCGGAATAATTGTTAGTGCCATCATATTAGATAATCAGTTTTGGAATGAATGTCTTGAAGTTGTGAAGATTGTGTTTCCTCTTATAAAGTTGTTGAGAATTGTTGATTCAGATGAGAAGCCCTCTTTGCCTTATGTTTATGAAGGCATGCAAAGGGCAAAAAAAGCAATTAAAGTAGTCTTCAACAATAAGAAAGACCAATACAAGCCTTACACAGATATTATCCAAGCCCGATGGGATAAGCACTTGAAGACCAATCTTCATGTAGCAGCATATTTATTGAACCTTGCCTTCTTGTATGATGATGACTTTGTTCACAAAAGAAGGTTAATGGATGCTATGCTTTCAGTATTTGAATCAACTGAAAATGAAGATGTTGATTATATTGTGATGATGAAGTAGTTGAGCTTGTATCGTGACCGTAAAGAATCTTTTGATAAAGCTTCATGTCATAGAGCAACACAGAAGCTAGACCCTTGTAAGTGTTAATATTTAACATGTTCATGGTAATTTTATTTATCATATAACATATAACTAATTGTCTTTTATTTGTAGATGAATGGTGGTCATTTTATGGAAAATCTGTTCCAGAGTTGCAAAATTTTGCAATGCGTATTCTTAGCCAAACTTCTTCCTCTTCTGGTTGTGAGAGAAATTGGAGCTTGTTTGAACGTATCCATACCAAAAAAAGAAATAGATTGGAACATCAAAGACTAAATGATTTAGTCTTTACAAACTACAATCTACGATTGAAGTATAGGTAATAAAAATAAAAATTATGAATGTTTTTAATAAATAAAATTTTTATTATTACTTCGTGGTAGACATATACTTATATTTGATTATTTTGATCTCATTAAAGGAGTCAATTGAAGAAAAATACAAGTTTTGATCCAATTGATTATGAATCTATTGACAAATTGGACTTTTGGATTGCTGAAGAGGAACAAGAGTTAGCTCCAGAGTTTGATGCCGATGATGTCACTAATTTGGAAAGTGCTATACATAATGAGAATCTTGTAGCTTCATCAACTTCTGTGAGAAATAATGAAGGTTCATACTTACTAACATGTCTATATTGCATAATATATAATTATTTTTTACATAATGATTAATGTTAATTTTTGTCATAAATAGGTGAAGAAGATATAAATATTTCAGAGCATCCACATTTGAATGATGATGTTGGAAGTGGTTCTGGTTTCTCTCAATCATCTCCTAATGTTTCAATCCTTACTCTCGGAGATTTGAATGAAATTAATGAGGATTTTAGTGTTGATTAATATTAGCTTTAGATTTTTTGATGATTAAAGAATTGTAAGGATGAATATTTTAAATGTTGTGTCTTTAATGATGTTTGGATGATTATATTGGACTTGTATGTAGTATTATATAAGATATTAAGTCTTAGAGAATTTATTTTTATTTAAATTATATTATTTTATTATGTCTGGTTTGAATTCGGGTTAACCTTCGGTTGAACCCCTGACCCCTGACCGTGGCCAGTTCAATAGCCGGTCCGATTTTCAGTACCTTAAATATACTCCTTCTCACCTACTTTCTTTCGGTTTTACCCTATGACTGGAGGAATAAAGTATTTCTAAAAATGATACATTAATAAGGAAAAATTTTAAAAAATATTTTTAAGACAAAATCAATATTTAATTATTTGTCTTTAATTATGATAAAAGAGTGAGAGGTGACGTGTAATTTTCCGGAACAAGGACTTTAGTCTCCCAGGGGATTATTTTCTTAAAATGTGCTGGTATACTTGACAAATCAGCTCGGATGCAAATAACATTGAACCCTTTTAAGGACGTGCCCTGGAAATGTGGAAGTCTCAAAGCTATTTTCTTTGGGGACTGGGCAGGGTAGGGAGGAACCTTCGCTAGATTTCCTAACCAACTCTTCTCCCAATGTCTTTTTCTTTCTCTACTCTCAATTTCCCTTCTTTTGTTTTTATCAATATTCAATATTTGATTTAAAGTTTTGAAATGTTCAAATTTAATATTTGATAAAATTATTATTATAATTTTACATAAGTTATATAACTAAATCATTACAATAATAATAATTTTATCAAATATTAATTTATAACGGTTAAAATTTCGATCTAACAATGAGTTACAAAAAATTGAGAGAAATAGAGACCCTTCTCCCAAGTAACTCTCCTTCAAACTATCATCATCAGCCTCCACTGAATTTGGGCACCCAAAATGAGGCTATCTATAAAGCTTCTCTTGTCCCTCCCACTCAAATCATTACTTTTGCCTTTGCCAACTCCCACAGATTGGATTGTGGAGACCTTCGTTCTTAGGAATAACCAGCGACTCATAGCCATACGGCCGTTAGAATAGTCAATCCTTTAATCACATTCCTAGTCCACTTCTTTCATTATTGATTATCGAACTCACTCCGCTTCGGAGTTCGGACGCAGAATTGAGTAATGAGAAACTTTTTTAAAAAATGAAATGCATAAAATGAGCTTTTCAAATTTCAACCCAGAAAGAAGAAAGCAATCCCAAAAAGAGTTGGTAAAAATTAAATTTAATGCGAGCCAATGTACAAAGACCGTAGGATAGGAACTCATGTTCAAATGCATTAGCAAACCCCTTTAAACAAGAAAATACGGTGCAGCCGCGTTACAAGGCAGCGAAGGATCTTTTCCTGCAGTGTGTTAAGCGGCAGAATTACTGAGGATTAGGAGGACGACTATTAGCAGCACAGACCCTGGAGCCCCATTCAAGCAACTCTTTGCTCGTATCGTCTTTGTGAACTATCACTTCAATAAAGCATAAGCAATCCTTCTTAGGTCCTGTTGCTGTTTCAATTGCTTCAATCAGCTCCTCTTCACAGAACACCTGCATTTAAAGTAGAAGGCATACAGATCATAGAATCAGCATCTTATTAATTGTTTAAAGCTGAGTAAAGCATTTTTCTCATTGCTTTTGAAAAGATAATGGGCGTCAAAATGAGATATCAGTTCCATACACAATCATATTATCATATTTTGTGTCATTTCCTCTCTGAATACATGAATGCACAAGACAATATTGGACAAGTGATGGAAAATTACCTTGGCGGTCCAGCATTTGCCTTCACCGTTGTGGATTGCATCGATCAAACCAGTGTAATTCCAGTTCTTGATCACGTTGTATGGCCCGTCATGGATTTCAACTTCAATGGTGTATCCACCATTGTTTACCAGAAAGATTATGCTCTTCTGCCCACATCGTAGCATTGTTGATACATCCTGAGCAGTCACCTGTAAAGCACAAGGGCATTGAATTTCAATACGCCAGAACACATGAACTAAAGAGAGTTAGATTCTTGCTAAGTTCTATGGGCAAAAAGAACAAGATGAAACCTGGAAACTTCCATCGCCTATGCAAGCAATCACTCGCTTCTCAGGCACAGCCTGTGCGTAACCAAGGGTTGCACCAACAGACCAACCAATTGATCAATATTGCATTTGGAACTCATACCTTTGAACCGATGAAAAAAATTAGAACATTTTAGAAAAATAAGCTAAGAAATCCCAGAGATCAAATTTTCAGGGTGCTTACCCACAACCCTTTGGCAGCTTCAGCTTCTGGCAGTTGAACCATGAATCCCCTGTCTCAGCAATTACAGCAGATTCACCGGACAGCATCTTTTGTATGTGCTGGAACAGAACATTAACCCTCAAAGGTTCTTTAGGTGCAGACTTCAATGGTTGCCCGTCAGGTACATAAATCCTGTGGTAGTTCTCATAAGCAGTTTCATTATGCCTGAGTCGCTTAGCCAGCGCCCCAAGAAAATCTTTCATCAGCACACACCCAAATGCTGGGCCATTTCCAATTACAACTCGTTCGGGCTGGACGATGATTGCCTTATCTTTCTTGAGAAGATGTGAATACCCAACAGAGCTGTAGTCATTGAAGATGGGTCCAGCAAACAAGTATGCATCAGCAGACTCCACAATCTCGGCACAGAAAGCTGTACTCACAGCACCCCAGTAAGTTCCAATGAAGTGGGGATGGTGCTCTGGCACTAGTCCTTTAGCTGATGGCATCACCGCGAGTGCATAACCAGAAGCATCGGCTAGTTCAACGAAGGCTTGGCTTGCCTTTGCCACTCGCAGTTTAGGCCCACCCACAAGAACTGGTTTTACAGCCTTGTTGAGGAATTCAGCAGCAGCCTCCACAGCTGCTTCCAACCCCATCTGATTACTCAATCTGTAAAGTACGTCAAGAGAAAATCAATCAATCAGAAAAGTACTAAAATCTTCTCGATTCAAGAGAGAAATAACCAAAAGGACGAGAAGGTCACCTTGGAGATAGTGAAAAAGGAACAGGTTCACGACTGAAAGTGGGGTGAGGAATCGCAGGCAAGTTACAACCTATGCTTATGTACACAGGCTTGCTTTCTTTCAGGGAGGTTGAGATAGCCGTGTCAATCAATTCATGAGCGTCCTCCAAGTTGTTCACCACAGCCTATACAGTATCAAGGGATCAAAACCAATTACCTCAAACGATCAGTAATAGAGATAAAATCAATCACTTCTCTAATCACGCGAATGGCATGAAATTAGTGGCTGATTTATATTTGAGAAACTATCACAAGCACCTAATCGAGACTCTAGTACAAATACTACGAATATATCCAACTCTGAACTTCAGAGCTCATGAAACACCAGCTAAAAGTAAAAACCGAAAATCACAGCGAAATTAGTACCTGGTAGCATGTGACAGTCTGGAAGCAGCTGAGCTCTTGGCTGAAATCGGGCAACCCGATGGTGTGATGGAGGATCCGGTTGGTGCCATAGTCGTTGGAGTTGGGACCGCCGACGATGCAAATGAGAGGCAAATTCTCACTGTAGGCACCGGCAATGGCGTTGAGAACACTGAGCCCGCCGACAGTGAAGGTGACGACGCACGCACCGACGCCACGGGCGCGAGCGTAGCCGTCAGCCGCGTAGCCGGCGTTGAGCTCGTTACAGCAGCCGATGAGGTTGAGCCCCGGCTCAGCGATCAGATGGTCGAGAAGGGTGAGGTTGAAGTCGCCGGGGACGGAGAAGACGTCGGTGACGCCAATCTGAACGAGCCGGCGAGCCAAGTGGCGACCTAGAGTGGCCTCTGAGGAGCAGATGGCAGAGGGAGCAACAGAGCTGTGAATGGTGGATACGGTGCCGTTTGGTGGGCCACCAACGTCGCTTCTGGCGGGTTTACACGCGTCGATAGCTCCAATCTTAGTGTCCATGGAAGATGGACTGTTCTGAAATCTTCTGAAGGAAAAGGTGAACTGGAAGGATAAAGAGAGAGCGATGATGGGGAGAAAGAGAGAAGGATGACGGAGAAGGTTTGAACTTCCGAAGTGCTTGGTTATGGAATTTTTGAGGCGTATATATATACATAATATAGCTAGGAAGGCTTCGCCGATCGAGATTGTTATTATGGGAAGAGGAGGGAAATGAGAGGGAAAGTGGAGAATGGAGAAAAGAGATACTGGGGGCGTGTTTGGTTTTGGAATTGCTGGAATCGGACGTTTAGGCTTTTGGCGACAGTGTCTGTGGTTTTGGCTTTGGCAGTACAGAACAAAATTAGTGGCTATTGGCCGTGAATCTTGGGGTACGTCTTTAACAAAGCAAAAATTATTATATTTAACAATAAGGAAAAAAATTACACACAAATTTTATAGAAAGAAAAATTATAATCAAATATCATATAAAAAAATTAATTATTATAAAATTTATTGACAATTAAAATAATCATTTTTTATGTGAGACTTCAATTGTATTTCTCCCTTTACACAATGCATTTTAATACTATAAGATTTAGTAACAGCTCAATAAAAAAATGACAAACGAATGCTACTGGATTTATTGATAATTAAGCAAAGAAAAATGATAATAATTTATTATTTTTTATGATAACAATTTATTATTTTTTTACTCAATTGTCAATAAATTTTATAATATTTAATTGTATTATGTAAAATTTTAAAATAACTGTTTCAAAAAAAAATGTATAATGGTGCCAACTAGCCCAACTAGGCTTACCTATCCAAATTCCAAGTTTTGCTCTATTCTTGAATTCATGCGCTGACTAATTTTTACATAATTCTTTTATGTTATATTTGAATACACATGAATTTAAATTTAAATTTAAATTTCAACCAAATTTATTATTTAGATAATTAAAAATATATAGATTTGGATAAATCGATATTATTTCAAATTTCAATGAAAGCTTCTCTCTTTCTTTACATTCATTCATCGACTTCACTACTATCTCATCTTGGATATCGCTGCCTCCAACTAATATCCATTGAGACCAAACCGACAATGTCGATTGGGGCCAAAATGCTAGCACAGATTGGGACTAGATCATTGGCGTCGACTAAGACCTAACGGCCAACGCTTATAAAGACCAGACTGCCGGCCTAAATCAGACGGCCAACTTTGATTGAGATTGCACTGACAACACCAACTGGGACTGGACTACTGTCTTTGACCAGGACTAGACCACCTATGCCTATCAAGACCTAATTGGTGGCACTAACAAAGACCGGATGGTCGGCAATGATTGAAACCACATGACCAATATTGACTAGGATTGGAGGATTGGAGTTGACCAGGACTAGGACTGAACTATTGAGTGTGATAGAGACCAAACCTCTAATAATGACAAGGAATTGAATGCAGCTATGATAATCACTAAATATTCAGCTTTGATAGCGATTGAACTACGCGCTTTAATTGGGACTAAAGAGCAAGAGTTGACCGAGAACGGATCATCAACCGTGACCGAAACCAAACTATCAATTGTGATCAAGACCAAACTACCCATTGTGATGGGGACTGGATCGCCAGTAGTGACTAGGACTACACAGTCGAAGCCAACTAAGACTGTATAGTCATGACCCAGACCAGACCATCGTCATTGAGCAAGACCTAACCACTGTTGCAATCCAAGATTGATCTATGATCACTATTTTTAATCTGTTTGCCTTTGTTGTCCAATGCCAAACACTACTATTAATAGGGAATGGTTTGATGTCATCATCAAAGTCAAATTCATAGCCTACGAACTACTGTAATTGTCCCAAGCTAATTCATAAGCATTGTTTAGGATTGGATTGCCGACATCGATTGAGATCGAGCTACCGCTACTGATCAAGACTGGACCATTGAAGTCATCTAGGTTCGAATAGTCGGAGTCAATTGAGATCAGGCTGCCACCTTTGATTTAAACCGAACCATTGACTTTAATTAAGACCAGACTACAAACAGCATCTAAGCTATCTTTCAATTCAAACAAAGAATTTAGAATTTATGAATTTCAAATATGTAATTTGAAATTCAAATTCTCAACTCATATCCATCCATCCAAATGCAACTTTACATATTTTGATTCTGTGAGATTCAATGAGTTTAAGGAATGATCACGTGAGTTATGTCACTTATCCATTGACCCTATTAGTAGGGAAAGGGAAAAATTAATTTTAATCATATTTATAAGATATTTTACTACTTTTTATTTTTATGTCTTTATTAAATGTTAAATAATTTTTCTTCTCATTAGAGGGTATAAATGAAAATTTATTAAATTTTAAAATAGAATTGATGAAATTTAAAATTTTCTTACTTACAATGAGATATATTAAAAGTAATTTATAAATAAAACTAAAGAAAGCACAATTTTATAAATAATAATATACAATTTATTTCGAAATTTATACTTTTATATGAATGATTGACTAAGATCTCTCACCGTACAAAATGCATGAACAATTTAAACACCATTAACATTATAGTAAAACTACTAAAAGAATAACAACTATACTTTTAATATACATTGATTAATTCATATGTTTAGGAATGAGTGCATTAATATTTTATTTGCATTGCATACCATAATTTTTTAAATGTTATGTAAGAAAATAATTTCTTAAAAAGTTGGGAGAACATTTAACACCCCCTTTATATTTTGGTTTTATCTTTCCAACTCTGCCAAAAAAAAAATCCTATTTTTATTTTTTCCTCAATAGGAACCTAAAGTATCTTCTAGTTTGATTCATATTGAATTTTCTTTGGTAATAAAGGACAGAGAAATATAGAGGCTAATTTTGATTCCAGATGTTGCGGGAGATGTACAAAAAAAAAAATTGTCAATAGGGTTTTCAAAAACAGTTAAAAACTGGTCCTAAATTTACACCGTTCAGTAAAACACATTCTCATGATTCTGGTATTAGTCACCTTCATTAGATCATTTACAGCACTACTAATAATACAAGGCTCAAAATTAGAGAGCAAATTCGAAGCTTTAAGTCTATCTTGAGTCTTGGCCAAAAAAAAAAAAAATAGTCTATCTTAAGTCATAGTTCAAGAGTCAAGACTGACAAGCTAGGTAGATAATTTTTATTCACTATATTTACTTCCACACTATTCCACTTTCCCATTGTGGTGAAATGTAGGGTTGATAATTTAAATGAGATTGACCTTGTTAGGATTAGCCTCAATTCAAATTAGACTTATTTGAATTGAGCCTGAAGCATCTTATTCTATCTGAAAATCTCATAAGCTAAACCCAATCTTAATACCTTTGGGTTGGCTTAAATACCTAAATTTTTTAAAAATATTTTTTATTTTTTAAATAAATTTTAATTCTTAAATAATTTTGTTAAGCATAAAATATTATTTTGATTTTAAAAGAATAAAATAAAAAATAATAGCTCATCAATTTTGTACTTAAATAACTCTGTTACTATTTTATTATATTATGTGTAATTTATTTATGAATATTTTTTTATTTATAAATTAATGTTCTAGTTGTTTAAATATTGCTCTTGTCATGATCATATATAAATATTTTAATTAAATTATATTATTTTAATTATGATCAAGTTGATATCAATTTAATTGCGGTTAGACCACTAATTTAAAATTATTGTTTTGATTAGTTCAAAGTTTTTAATAACTTTTGAAGAGACTATACTTTTTATTTTTAAGTTTAGAATATGAAAAAAATAGTCATCATTATATTATATAAAAATTATTTAATTATGAGTAAAATACTAATTTTGTGAGATTATTTTTTTTAACTTTTTATATTATTTAATCCTTATACTATTTTTCAAGTAAGTTTAGGCTAACTCATGGGACTTGGTCTTAGTGAAACGTAGTCCACGTTTAAAAATAGGAATCACTTCGACAGGACTGAATTTAAAATATTAAAATGGAACTTTTTTTTCACTTCATAAAATCAATTTAAAAATTAATGTATCTAGTCATTCTATTTTATTTATATACATTTGAAAAGCAACTTTAAATCATGAATACAAAGCAACCACGATGACGATAATGAGTCAATGGCAACAGCTCTTTGTCTCTAGTTTGCCCTTTCTTGGACTGCAAGTTTGAATAAATGACTTGAATGGCGAAGTCCGTTAAAGTTCTGGCAAATCACAAGATACAGAAGTCAGAAGAACCTTTTTGAAACTTTAATTCTTCCGGAGGCAAGCGACATGGAAAAAGTTGCATTTTTGTGTACGTACGTTGGAAAGAGGAATCATTGTGGTAATAAATTAGGGGAAAAAAACCACTACATGTTTGTGTTAGGAAGGGGTAACTTGGTAATATACATACACACACAATTGACAATTGTAATAGGATGATTTGTCATTGTGACTTTTGTTATATATTTTTTTAATTTTATTTTAAAAACACCTTCAATTTTGTTAACTTTATTTTAAAATTTAATAAATTTTTATTTTTATATTTCTTAGTCAAGATAAAAAAATTATTTTTAATAATTTCTCATAACATTTAATAAGATTAGTAAAATAAAAATAAGCATAAAAAATAATAAAATGTTTTGTAAATAAAATTATAATTAATCTTTTTATTTTATAAATAAGAAAAGAGGAGTATAAAAAACTATTACGGATACTTCCACCACTGATGAGCTCAACATGAACGGTCCAGATGTGTTAAAAGAGCAGGGAACCAGTTGTGTCATAAATTAACTTACGGGATGAGTTGGCACTTGACCTCAAAGTTTGGAATCATGGTATTCATGTGATTCCATGTGTCGAAAGCCTCAAGAGTTCTAAAACCATCTAGTCTCATCTAGACATCACTGCGCTAACGACCGACCATTTCATGATCACGATTTTATTTTCCATTTCATAGCATATTATAATACTGGAACTTTAACTAACAGGGAGGCACATAAGTAGATGTGTCAAACTCGGTTTGTGACTATGACCAGGTGTTGAAAGTAATTTATTTGAATTTTAGAATGTATTTTCTCAACTTCGACATTACATTCTAGTCTATACTACGAATCTAACTGTCATGCCACTTTCACGAACTTTTATACAAGGTCAAAAATATAAAATTAGATTTTTCATAAAAAGGAGACACTGCGTTAAAATATTAATAATTAAAAAATTGCAAGGGGGCACGAGGATCCCCCACCATGGACCATCTCTTGTTGGGGGATGTATGCGGATCAATTTCCTCACACTTAAAG